GCAGCTCAACACTACTCAGTACTGACACCAGCCCCCACAAAACTCACCACATCCGAGAGAACAGGTATGATCCGTGTCCGTGACATCCTTTGTCATAGCCATTAAGAGGAAACAGTATCAGGTGGCTTGTCACACACCTGACTACACAGATCAATTTCAGCACAGGTGGGAGGAAAGAGGGTCAGGTTGAGCGAAGTGCTGCTACTTTCTGCTGGACTTTACCATTCACAGCGTTAATTCTTATGACCAGGTGTTCTCCTGCAACTCTCCTGCTGACAGGCCATTAGGAGGCACAGAGTTCACGTGCATTAAAAAGGTTTGATTGGCCATCAATGGGGAGCGGGAAAGGGCAGAAGGGGAAACCCTGTTTCCTCTTAAACTTAATTTACAAACCTCGATGAACCTAACAGATCATCGAGCTGTGAGCAAAACACTATCAGGACAGATCATCGAGCTGTGAGCAAAACACAGGAAACAGCAGAGTATCATGCAGCCTCAGGATCTAATCATCCACAATAAATGGATTCTCATGTGATGGTAGAGGCAGCTCTGACAGAAACAAGAACTCATTCTTGTTTTTATACAGCAAAACAAATACATTATTCTACTACTACAGGCAGCTGGAAGGAAGATGTTAGAAACTGGTGTAAACAATATTTTAAAAAGCATTTAGCCACTAGCTAAATGCTAAAATACAAACGTTTTACAACAACTTATGATGTACCTTTAAACTAAGGTGAAAGTTCCGAGATCCTCCAGATGTTTTCTAAACCTTTAAGTGATTTACAGAAGGACCAATCACTTCTAACTTCAAATGGGAACAAAATCCACAAGTCCTAACTGATATCATGACAATCATTCCTTTTGTGAAACACTTCAAAAAGCCAAATGTTGTCTTTCTGTCTGACTCACCGTAAGCTGTCATGGTTCCTACATAGGGCCCATCCATGACGCTTTGGTTCTCCTCAGCCAGAGCTTTGATGTAGCGCTTGCTGAGATCTAGGATCTGCTGCCGCAGCACAGCGCTGTTCTCGTGGCTCGCCCGTTGCTGGATGGTGAAGTGTAGCAGCATCATACCCCAGATGAAGCCAAAGCTGACCAAGAAGAAGCCTAGCTTCTGGGAGGACAGCTTCCACAGGAAAGGGGTAGCCATGGCGACCTTCAGGAGGCTGCTGTGGAGCTTCGAGTTAGACTGGAAGTAGGGGGTGTAAAATGATCCAGGAATGGGAATCAGGAAGGCAGGCCGGCCATGGTGGTGATGTCACTTGGCGTGTACTTGAAGGTGTAGGTGATTTCTGGTAGTTAGAGCAAAGCTTGTTTGCCTAACTGTGGCCATGGTCTTCTGTGAACCATTTTAGTTGTTCAAGAGAATCTCAGGGGACTGAATGTCACCCGGAGCATCCTGTGGAGACATGGACAAGAGACAGTTGGTTTATCTTTCTGTAACAGAGATTGTAACGGTGTTTCTGCTCCTTTGTGTTTGTACCACTTGTGTTGATGAACATTGCTGCAACTCAACAGTGATGACAGCCTAATGTGTTGCATGACATCTGCACAATACGAGTGGCAATTTTATTCAACCATCGACACGTATTTCCTCTGTGGACTTTGGTGCAGTTTATAAAGTGACTGGCAGTGAGATAGTTGGTGATGCATCAACATCAAGCCACATTGACAAAATGCCTAATTTAAGGCATTTTTCATCCAGAGCATAAAGACGTGGTTTTAATAGATTTTTTTTATGTAAAGTTAAAGTTATTTTTTATGTAAACATTTGGTGGAGCTGACAACAACAGCCTGAGGAGTCAAACGGGCACCATCTGTAGTGACAGTGTGACAAGAAATTGTATGTTAAATACTGTACACGTGTAGCGAAAAGGCCAGACAGATGGCAGGTCAACTTCAACCAACAACAATGAGAAATTATATGGATGGAAACTTAAGCTAAAAATAAATCTAGGAAATTACTCAGATCTAACAGGAAGGAAAAATGCCGGCTGAATTTAACGAAAGATATATGGTGTATCACCAGCAGATTGAGATATCTCAAATGCTTAGTTAACTTGTTCCATTATTACAGAACATACTTCCTCTTCTCTCCACACCGTTTCATGCACACATCATATTGCAATAGGCAACTTCCAGTCTTTCC